AGCGGCTCCCCCTCCTCGGAGGGCTCTTCCCCGCGCCTGCGCACCGCTGCCGGGCAGACCCGGCCAAGAACGCCGTACTGTAATTTCGGCCCAAATTGATGTAGTTCTGCCTTGGTTTACAAAATATTTTATTACGCATTCGCTCTTATTAACCGCTTCACAATCTTAAGAAAGTGACACGTGCCCTGCCCGTGTGGCTCAGTGGTTGAGCCTCGACCTAAGAACCAGGAGGTCACCGTTGAGTTCCCAGTCAGGGCACTGAAAGGGTTGAAGAGAATAAACCAGGGCAGAGGAAAACTTATTGTGCTTAGCAGATCTCTTGCAGAAAGCTTGCAGCCTTGAGCACAGCATAGCTCGGATAACCAGAAGACACCTGGCCCGGGAGGAACCAAGGACGGACCGGACCCTTATGTCAGCAGAGCGGCTTACAGCCTGCAAAAATTAGTGAAAACCTCTCTCTCCCTGCTCTCTTCGCTGATGCCTTTCTCGGTCTCAGCCCCCCTGCACTCAGGTGTTTGGGAATAAAATCTTTTTTGATACATTATGGCCTCATGTCATAGGTGCGCAACCCCGGCCCACTCCGAACCTTTCAGGCACGTGCAGGGGTTGCAGCCTCGGTCCCCAGTAGGGACCATGCAGGAGGCAGCGGATCAATGATTCTCTCTCATCAGTGATGTTTCCATCTCTCTCCCTCGCCCTTCTTCTCTGAAATTAACAAAAAAATATGTTTAAAATAAATTGGCATGAACCCTGAGACCCATAGAGGTCCAAAGATACACAGCTAGTGAGCATCAGCCCCCTGGCCGCATGCACAGCCGGAATGCCAGGCACACAGTGTATGCTCAGTGTATGCCACTTACTGAACTGCTCCGACGCTAGTGAAAAGAAACACCGGGGGGTTAACCAGCTCAGGGCGCTGTAACAAAATACCACAGACTGGGTGGCTTTAACAACAGAAATTTATTTTCTGGAGGCTGGGAGTCCAAGATCAAGGTGCTAACAAGGTTGGTGTCTGAGGCCTTTCTCCTTGGCTTGCAGTTGGCAACCTTCTAGCTATGTCCTCACATGTCCCTTTCTCTGGTGCTCATGTAGAGAGAGATCTGGTATCTCATCCTCTTCTTAAAAGGATGTCAGTCCTCCTGGATTAGAGTCCTTCCCTTATGACCTTGTTTAACCTTAATTAGCTCCGTAAAGGTCCTTTCTCCAAATAAAGTCACATTGGGGGTTAGGGCTTCAACCTGTGAGTTTGGGGCGGGGGTGGGCGGGGGAGGGACATATAGTTTAGTCCATAACTACTGATGAATTTAGAAGATAGGAGCTCAAGTACTGACTTTACCTGAACCTAACTGAGTGCTTTGGGGAAGCAAGTCCATTATCCTGTAGGAGCCTTAACTTCTCTATCGGTTACATGTGGCAACTTTTATGGGGTTGTTAAGCTGAAATGAGATCATGGCTGGAGGACATTTTATGGACTAAGTTCTTACACAATAAAAATGACAATTATTCCTTCTATTAATATGTCATGCAGTTTACAATGTGATTTAAAATGCATAATGTCATGCAACATACTTGCAAGGAATTATTATTGCTATAATTATCACAGGAATACCTAAAAGGGAAGTCTGTTTGTGATTCATACCCATAAACCCTAATGGCAGAAAGGATTCAAGGCAGTTTCTGATGAAAGCCGTGTCCGTGAAGTGGCATTGCCTATGGCTTCTCACAGAGGCTGCAGAAAAGGCCCAGGAAGGCGTTGAAGAAGTGAGTGACCACCAGGAGAACCTGGAGGAGGCTGATGCACAGGAGAGCGGAGAAGAAGGACACGTGCCAAATGACAGCTTTCAAAGGCTCCAGGCAGACCGAGTTCCAGAGGGAACGGTCATATAAATAATTCCTGTTCCCACAAATAAAGAGACAGGGGTTGAGGAACAAGTAAGAAATGCCAAATAAGCAACCTCAACAGACAGCCGGGGCCTCCCCCAGCTCAGGTCACAAGCCTAGACTCATTCTTGAGGGTGACTATTGTGGCTGCATTTGCAATGTTTGAGCATCAGAGGAGTGAGATGCTAGAATGCATCACCAAAAGGAGTTTGTAGTCTCTCTCTTTTTCTCTCTCTCTTTCTCTGCCACTCTCCTTCCCCCTCCCCCCAATCCCTCTCTCTCTCTCTCTCTCTCTCTCTCTCTCTCTCTGAAAAGGCTGAAACTCCATTCAGGTCTCCATCCATTTACCTGTTGTGTAGGTCTTTGAATGGGTAACCATATTTCCAAGCTTGCGTCTGGTTGAAGGATGAGACATCGAACATGCAAAATGGACCATCTTTCAGGGCTACTCCAGAAGTAATAAAGCAAATCAAGGCTCCAAGCAAAGCCAGGCCACTTGATAATAGAGCAGCGAGCATCTGCAGAGGGAGAGAAAAAATAGTGAGCCCTGGCTGGCATGGATTGTGGTTAGAGCATCAGCCGCCAACCGGAGGGTAGCGGGTTCAATTCCGGTCAAGGGCATGTACCTGGGATGCGGGTTCCCCTCCCTGGTTGGAGGAGCATGTGAGGGAGGCAACCACTTGATGTGGCTCTTTCACATCTCTCTCTCTCTCTCTCTCTCTCTCTCTCTCTCTTTCTCTCTCTCTCTCTCCTCCTCCTCCTCTCCTGTCCCTTCCACTCTCTCTAAAATTAATGGGAAAAATATCTCCTCCGGTGAGGATTAACAAAAAGAAATAAAGAGGGGGGGGGGGAAGGAAGGAAGGAAGGAAGGAAGGAAGGAAAGAAGGAAGGAAGGAAGGAAGGAAGGAAGGAAAGAAGGAAGGAAGGAAGGAAGGAAGGAAGGAAAGAAGGAAGGAAGGAAGGAAGGAAGGAAGGAAAGAAGGAAGGAAGGAAGGAAGGAAGGAAGGAAAGAAGGAAGGAAGGAAGGAAGGAAGGAAGGAAAGAAGGAAGGAAGGAAGGAAGGAAGGAAGGAAAGAAGGAAGGAAGGAAGGAAGGAAGGAAGGAAAGAAGGAAGGAAGGAAGGAAGGAAGGAAGGAAAGAAGGAAGGAAGGAAGGAAGGAAGGAAGGAAAGAAGGAAGGAAGGAAGGAAGGAAGGAAGGAAAGAAGGAAGGAAGGAAGGAAGGAAGGAAGGAAGGGAAAGAAAGAAAGAAAGAAAGAAAGAAAGAAGGAAAAGAAAAGAAAAGAAACAGTTTGAGATGGGGTCGTGACTAGGTGACTTGTGAGGCCACCTGGAAACTTCTCTGGTGCTCAGGCTCTCGCCATGATGTCACACGGGGCTACTCCCACCCATGGCACCTCCTTTAAAGCTTGACCAAGGAAGGGTGGCTGATGAGGGGTCACAGGGTAGAACTAGGAAGGGGTGGAAGAGAAAGAACTGAGAAGGGGGAACACTGGCACTTGAACCTGGATCTGCCTGTGTCCGCAGGCCCTCGGGATCTTCTCAACAGGTTGGCATCAACAACTCTTAAGCTCAGCCCTGACTGGTGAGGTTCAATTGGCTGGAGCATCATCCTGTACGCCCATGGTGGGCTCAATTCCCGGGCAGGGCACACACCTAGGTTGCGGGTTGGATCCCCGGTTGAGGCATTGATCAGTATAGGAGGCAACTGATCAGTGTTGCTCTTTCACATCTTTCAATGTTTCACACACAAAACTTTAAAGCCCAGACTTCAGTCATTCAGCCTCTGAGTTAAAGAGTCGGATTGTCGTTTGCCCTCTTCTGACTCTTTTAAGGCAAAGCTGTATTTTCTTCCATCCCATCCCTGATTCCAGTCTTGTTCAAATCAAGCATGAAAGGGAGGGAGGGAGGAAGCAGGGAAGGAGGGAGACAGAGACAGAGACAGAGAAGAAGAGAAACAGAGACAAACAGCAGTCAACTCTGAAATGACACCAGTCTGTCGCTGTACTTTTCTCGTCTGTACACTACTCTCCCCTCCCAAAGGATAGCAATGAGTTTATTTTCTTGGCAGGATTTTAGCTTGCTTCCAAATTGTCTTCTTTCCCAGGATACTAGATATTTTATTCTCCTTTCCAAAGAATACATGTTTTAAAATTACAAAACACACGTATAAATAGTTTTTATACAGAATCATAGTAATTCCCCCACTGATGTCAAGCTGGTTTGAAGCTTGGGAGGGCACAGAGAAAGGTTTTGTTTGTTTGTTTTTAGTTTTTATCGATTTGAGAGAGGGTAAGGGAGGGAGGGAGGAAAGGGGGGAGGGAGAGAGAGAGAGAGAGAGAGAGAGAGAGAAAGAGAGAGAGAGAGAGATATATATTGTTCCACTTATTTATGCACTAATTGGTTGATTCTTGTATATACCCTGACCTGAGATCAAACCCACAGCCTTGGTGTATCAGGACGATGCTCTAACCAACTGAGCTACCCAGGCAGGGCCAGGTGCGTGGTAAGCTTTGACTCTAAGTTAAAAGATTCAAGATTAATTACTCTGATATAAGCCTAGGACAGTAATTCTCAAAATGTGGTCCCTGTCCCAGCAGCGTCAATCACCTCACCTGGAAACTTGTTAGCAATGCAAAATTTCCCTCTCCACCCCAGGCCTACTGAATCAGAAACCCAGAGGGTTCTGGTGTAGCTCAACCTGAGAACCATCCCCTTAGGGGAAAACAGATGTGACTGAGAACAGACAGTGAGTGAAATGTGTGGGTGCTTATATTTAATTCTTTAGCATATAATTCTGAATCAGGGGGTTCCCACTATATGGGTGGCAGATACCAAAGTAGGCTGTGGGGTTACTGTAAGGAGGCCACCAATCCACGTGTCTGAGAATGAATAGGCAACATAATGTGTAAGAAAACAGAGTTTTCAAATAAATATAGATGCTACTGTAATTGATAAAGTGCAAATGTATTTGGGCCTCAGTTTCATTATCTGTAAAATGGAGAGGTTAGACTAGAATCTAGTCCTTAGATGATCTCTGGAGAACCTTCCAGCTCACAGAAAAATTTAAACAAAATAGGCAAGAAATTTTCTTTCAAAAACACATGATTACTCCCTAGCTCAGTGGTCGGCAAACCGCGGCTTGTGAGCCACATGCGGCTCTTTGGCTCCTTGAGTGTGGCTCTTCCACAAAATACCACGTGTGGGCGTGCACGTACAGTGCGATTGAAACTTCATGGCCCATGCGCAGAAGTCGGTTTTCGGAAAGGAGATAGACGAAACAAGTATACAAGACAAGTGTGGATGGGAGAGTTGGAAGGGGTGGACCTCAGCGAACGTACCTCAATCAGATTGAGGACGTTTTTTAGCAAAGGCCAGCTTAGGAGTACCCTAATTAAGTTAATAACAATGTACCTACCTATATAGTTTAAGTTTAAAAAATTTGGCTCTCAAAAGAAATTTCAATCGTTGTACTGTTGATATTTGGCTCTGTTGACTAATGAGTTTGCCGACCACTGCCCTAGCTGGTTTGGCTCAGTGGATAGAGTGTCAGCCTGCGGACTGAAAAGTCCCAGGTTCAATTCCAGTCAAGGGCACATGCCCGGGTTGCGGGCTCGATCCCCAGTAAGGGGCGTGCAGGAGGCAGCCAACCAATGATTCTCTCTCTCATCATTGATGTTTCTATATCTCTCTCTCTACCTCTCAATTTCCTCTCTGAAATCAATAAAAATATATTAAAATTATAAAACAACATGATTGCCATGTACATAACTCATGTTCATATTGTTCAATAAGCTAAAAAATTAATAACAACAGTTCTCACATTTGTATAGACATTTATGGTTCATTACAACATTCATGGTTCATTACAACATTTATGGTTAATTAAATAACAGGGTCATTGACTTGATTCTATTAACCCCCATTTTACAGATGAGGACCTGAGGCTCAGAAAAGTTAAGCAACTTGCCCAAGAGCTTAGGGTGATTAAGGGGCATGATCAGGACCTGACTTCAAACCCCAAGACCAAAATTGCCTTTTTACCACTGGGCCTCTGAAGTAATGGGATGTGGGGACATTCTAGGTTTAGAAGAGTGAAGTCTGGTGCTTACGCTTCGGCAGGGCCCACTCTTGCTGAAGCAGCCGTATCGCCAGCCCATCAGGGAGATGAGGGTGGCTGCAGTGAGGACCTGGGAGAGGAGAAAGAGCGTTAGGACGAGACTGGGTAATGGACACTTCTTGCCGCCACCTGTGGCTGTTGCACCAGTGTGGTTGGGCACCTCCCGTGGACTTGATTATCCTCTCTTTCCCAGAGGGTTTGGTTTTGCCTGTCAGGACTCGGTTTTGGATGACTAGCCTGCCCTGACTCTGTTGATGGCAACGTTCACACCTAGTATGCCTAGTCCAAAATCCAGCAAGTCTTCCTGGACCAGTGGTTCTCAACCTTCCTAATGCCGCGACCCTTTAATACAGTTCCTCATGTTGTGACCCAACCATAAAATTATTTTCGTTGCTACTTCTTAACTGTAATTTTGCTACTGTTATGAATCGTAATGTAAATATCTGATATGCGGGATGTATTTTCATTGTTACAAATTGAACATAATTAAAGCATAGTGATTAATCACAAAAACAATATGTAATTATATATGTGTCTTCCGATGGTCTTAGGCAACCCCTGGAAAGGGTCATTCGACCCCCAAAGGGGTCGCGACCCACAGGTTGAGAGCCGCTGTCCTAGACTCTTCTATCCTTTGGAGTTGCTATAGACTCCAGACCAGCTTGTTAGATCAAACTCATTTGCAAGGAATCAAAACACTCCTCCCCCTTCACCTCCCTATTTCATCCCTGAGGGGCACTTTGGGAGTTCTCTCTCAGAGAACCCAGGACATTTACCATGAGGCCTCCTCCCCAGAGCCCAGAGCCCAGCATGGCATGCTTGCCAATGAGGCCCCTCAACAGGTAGGTCACATCCCAGTTAGGAAAGAGGAGCACCATGTTGGCCCCAGCAGCAAACAGGGCTGTAGTCCCGAGGCTCAGCCCCAGGATGCGGGAGCAGGTCCTTGAGCATGCCATCCTGCAGGGAGAGCACAGTGTCCTGGAACGAAGGGAGGACGGTCATGTTAGCTCTGCTACTGGGAGCATGGGGTGGGGAAGACACACAGATACTTCACCTCCCAGGGTCGGACAGAAGAACCAAGGAACTTGCTTCAAAACTCAGCCTCTTATAAATATCCCCCAATAGATAAGGTTTAATTGCTCCATTTTCTGCCAACTTCGACTCATACATACATGCTCCTCATCCCATCATAGAGTGAGTAGTCTTTGTTTCTGGCTTCTTTCACTTTAATACTATTGAGGTTTTTTTGTTTTTTATTGCCTAGTAGTATTCAATTGTATGGATATGCCACAATTGATCTATTCACATCAATGTTTCTATCTCTCTATCCCCCTACCCTTCACTCTCTGAAATCAATAAAAACATTTTTTTAAATGTTGCCCTTCAAAAGACATCATTAAGGACATGAAGAAGCAAACCACAGGCTGGGAGAAAATACAATATACATTTTGTAAATATGTATGGGAATGTGAATACATAACATTTGACAAAGGACGTGTATCTAAAACTCTATAATAAGAAGACAAACAATGATTAAAAAATGGGGAAAAGATTTGAATAGATACTTTGTTTCATCTCACAAATATCCTATCTAATAATAGACAAACATAGTAATTAACCATACCTCCGACACGCTTCCCACTGGCTAATCAGGGCGATATGCAAATTAACTGCCAACCAAGATGGCGGCCGGCAGCCAGGCAGCTGAAGCGAACAGAAGGCTTGCTTGCTCCTGTGATGGAGGAAGCCAAGTTTCCCCGCCTGCAGCTGCTGGCCTCTGAGCTGCACTCTAAGAAACAATGTTGCAATTATAGAAGATAAACAAACCCCAGAAACCTGCTTTCAGCCCCCCGGGCCTCAGAGCTGGAGCTGCAACAGTGTTTCAATTATAGAAGCCAAACAAACCCAGATACCTGCTTTCAGCAGCCGAGGCCTCAAGCTGGAGCCGGGACTCAGAGCTAAAGCCGGCTCTCAGCTCCAGTGACAGC